ATGCTAGTTGAGCACTTTCCTTAATTGAATTGTATGGTGCTTTTTTTCCTTATCATATTGCAAGATAAGAAACAGCCACACTTGTCACTTATATAGTTAATTGTGAATCTCCAAACTCCACATGCATTTTACATGTTGACTCACAAGGGTACGTAGATATCTTGATTAGGTTATTATATTAGCTTTCCACTAACTGAGTTTTTCAACATTTCTTCTTCATCTCTTCTTTCTTAAGAACAGCTTTTAAAACATTCAGTGATTAGTGTGATCGTAGGTTTAACTGTTTTTCTAACATTAGCTTTTATTAAAATCAGGTTTGAATGTCCTTGATCCTGTAGTCTTTCTGCCTAATCAGTAATCAGTGCTTCTCCAAACTCTTATTAATCAAACACCTCTAGTATCTCCCAAGCACAAATTTATACAGGAAATAATAAAAACTAGTTTTTAAATATTGTGTGGAACCAGCTGTGTCAAAAGTAGTTTTTTAACTATTTGTTGTGGAAAATTTGCAATACACAAAAGGAAAGAAAAGTATAATGAACTAATGACGGATTTTGTTTCATCTAAACCCCCACTTATTCATCCATCTCATGATGGCTTCATTGAAATCCAAAGGTCATATCAATACATACATTTTTAAAATGAGTCTTTTAAAAGTATGACAATAATACTAATTATTAAATTAAATTTTATTTATCTATTTATTTTTGGTGGTGCTGGGGATTGAAACAAGGGCCTCATGCATATTAGGCAAGTACCGTATCACTAAACTGCATCTTCAGCTCTACTAATTTTTAAAAAAAATAATAATAATAATTGCTTAACATCATCAGATATTTTACAGTTTTTTCTGTTTGCCCTCTTGTGCCACAGTTTTGTTGTCTCCAGTCTCCTAGATCTCTTTTAACTTACAGATTCCACTCCTCTCTCTTGCCACTCTTCTCATTTCTCGATTATTTGTTGAAGAAGCCTATAGTCCCCACAGCACATGAAGTGCCCAACTTTGGTCTCTACATGCTATTTACCACTGAAAGGAACTGTAACTTCTTGTAGTAGTGGCCGATTCCAAGTGTGGATCATAAAGAGTATAAAATGGCACAGGAGCATCCTGTTATACCAGAAGCAAAGGAAACCATTAAAAGCCACTGAGTTTGTATTAACAGAACCAAGAAGGTTACCTGAGGAAGCTTCAACTGATCAGAGACAGGAAAGGAGGATCACTATGCAAAAGAAGCGTAACTAATTGAACCACATCAAAAAGTTTAGATCCATGAGTTTATAATGATAACCACAATTCAAGAGGAGTCCTGATCTTTGGGGGGATATTGGGGAGTCAGTGAATTATTTTGAAAACTGGTTAATACATGGGAAAATAAATAAATCTCTATCCTTTCCTACAGGAACTGCACCTCAGCTTAAACAAGCAGTTGATCAGGTTTTGTTTTGTTTACTTTAAAGAAGCTAGGAGAGAATTAGAAATGTCATAATTTTGCAACCTCTAATGAAATATGTAGGCAGTGATTATCAGAAGCAGCTAAGGTTATGAGAGACACCCAGTATTTGAGGGGGTCATATCACCCCCTGATGTGTTTTTGTAAGACAAAAACAAAAATTGTACTGCCCTAGTGACATAGAAAGAGAAAAAAAGCTGTGTTGGTTTTTTTTTTGGTTTTGTTTTTTATCTTTTTTTTTTTTTTTTTACTCTAACAAGGGAGAACGAGGTTAAATATAAAGGTTATAGAAAAAGGTAAATTGGAATTTTACTGTCAAGGCAAGGACTCCCGAAAACAACAAACACTTTTAAATAACCACTTGTTAAAATACATAGCAAATAGGAAAATGTGGTTTCAGGAAATATTTAAGGCAGAACCAAATGGACCCCTTCACTAGTAACTTGATGTTTCTCAGATGACACACAAAATGTTAAATTTAGTCCCCATTCATGTATGTAAAGTGGCTGAGGGAATTTTTAGGCCATTAACTGGCTCAAGTAGTAAAGTTTCTGAAACTCTCAGCCTCATTTTTTCATGAAATGAAAATGAATATAGTATGAAATGAATATAGTAACAATGTCTACTATAAGGCACTGTACAAGGATTAAATGAGTTAATGCATTAAAACTACTCAGAAAAGGTTACCTGCAATAAACATATTAATATTGCATTGTCATTATGCTACAATTCTCATAGTTAATCTGAAACTTCAAAAAAACAGAACTACAAGAGAGCATAATTCTGGCCTAGGATTCTAGTCTAATAAGCAAGTAGATAGAAGCTTAGGGAACAGAGTTTTTTGAAAGAGGCATTAACAATTTCACATCAGCCTATTCAATAGTGCCTTTGCTTTTTTTTTTTCTTTTTTAGTCTTCTGTCCAAAAAAGTGATTTTTAATTCTAATGCATATATTATTATTTTATTTATGGTACATTTTGCATAGAAACTCATAATTCAAATAATTAAATTGTGGGTATCTTTGTATGCATTGGCTGCTCTTCTCAGAGCATGGGCCCTCTGTGAGCTTCCCCTTCCTAGGGAAATCTACATCAACTATCAACTGCAGTCAGTTTAGAAGAATGAGCAGCCTGAGTTCAGAATGCAGAAATGTCTCAGCTGTGAGTCTGTTTAATAATTTTATAACGACCTAACTCTTCTGATTATTAGGAAAATGTCCAGATTCAACACAAACAATTGTCATTGAAAAACAAATTTTCTTCTTCACCTCTGAACTGTAGGTGAGACTAAAACTACCCAGGTTTAGCTTATTTTCTACTCACACTTTGGGAATATAAACACAGACAGTCATCATCATCATGGTAGTCATTGTTATTTGATTATATCTATTACATCTGAAAATAAAAAGTATATGAAAATAAATATAAATGGATACATACTAAGTCTATAATGTAGTAAAGATGGAAAAATTAGTTTTAGGTTATAAAGATGAGGTAGCAATATATCTTAATTTTCTTCACTGTGCTTTTTTAAAAAACAACTCCGCTCTGGTAAAGTAACTTTCAGTATTGATTTAAAAGCCTAAGTACTTTTTTAAAAAAATTTAAGAATATTGTGTAAAATGTTTGACTCTGTGTTAGTCAGCTTTTCATCACTATAAGAAAATGCCTGAGATAAGTTATAGAGAGAAGTTTTATTTTGCTCCGATTTCAGAGGTTCCAGACTGGGATCAATTGGCTCTGTTGCTTTTGGTCCGGTGACATGGCAGTACATTATGGTGGGAGCACAAGGCAGAGCAAAACCACTTACCCCATGTACAGGGAGCAAAAGAGGAAGAGGAAGGGGCAAGATCCTACAATACCCTTTAAGGGCATGCCCCCAATTACCTAAAGACACCCCACTATCCTTACCTCTCAACTATTCTACCACCTCCTAATAGCACCTCACTAGGGACCAAATTCTTAATACATGATATTTTGGGGGACATTCAAAATCCAAACTATAGCATTCTATTAATGATTCATGTGACTTTGCTTTGAACTCCACCTTCCTGAAATAGGCTGTAAAAGTCAAAGGCAATTCAACTATAGCTTCAAGCCATTTTAGCTGTAATAGTATTCTTTGTTTAATAAAGATATCCATACTGATAAATGGAAATGATGCTAGATCTCCCTAGCAAAGACAAGGTATAGAAGCCATGAAGCCACCTCTCCTAAGGGAACAACAAAATTCCAGGGTATCCAGGTAGAGAGTCGCCAGTCCTACTCTCCTCTTTCAGGTTTTCCAGGCTTAAGGAAACAGCATACAGGAGAGGTCAGAGGAATGGCAGAACTTCCTCCAGGATAATGAGCTAGAGAAGAAACCAAAGACCTGAATGAAGCAGGTCAATAAAGTATTTGAAAAGTAGCAGGAGGAACACTTGATGATAAAGAGGACTATAGTTTCAAAAGAGGAGACCTCTAGACTGCAGATAGGTTTTCAAAAAAAGTTTTTAAATAAAGCTATGAATATAGAATTTTAATTTCAAAAGTTAAAAAGTTAAATCATATATTGATTAAATTACTTTGTAAATATAGTTAGCCCACTGTATGCAGGTTCCACATCTGTGCATTCAACTAACCATGGATCAAAAATACTTGAAAAAAAATTGCATCTGTACTGAGCATGCAGACTCTCTTTCTTGTCCTTAGTTCCTAAACAGCATAATATAACACTTATGTACCTAGCTTTTGTATTATATTGGGTATTATTAGTAATATGGAGATGATTTAAAGTATATAGGAAGATCTGTCTAGTTAATATGCAAATACTACACAATTTTGTATAAGGGACTTGTGCATTCATAGATTTTGGTATCCCTGTGTATGGTTCTAGAACAAATCCCATTAAGAAACCAAGGGAAGTGACTTTATTACATATTTATGAAAAATATATCAAATCATATTACAATTATTTATTTATTTAAATTTAATGTGCATTTTCATCCTTCTCTTCCCTTTTACTCTCTAATATATATATTCCTCTGCAGCAATGCTCGTCTGGATGTTTAATTGAAAACTGTTTTTGAATACAGAAATCACTGAAGAGAAAAGGGCTTTATCTTTTTATGTTATCCTTATTCCTAGGGACACGGGCATTTAGAGCCTAAGTTTATTATCAGATGCCATCACTCAAATGCCCTAAATACTAGCAAAATAAGTATGAGAAAATAAAAACACATTGTTTTTAACCTTCAGCCTACTCAGAATCTACATAGATAAGAATTTGAGGAAGCCAAAGAATGTGTCACCCAAAATGACAGGAGATTTTTTTTCATCTTTAGACTTTAGTGAGGTCGACTGACAAGGTGAGAGTTCTCCAGTATAGGGGGGTAGTGCACTTAGCCCCTATGCGGTGTTTCAGAATAGATCAGAATGTGTCTCAGAAGTTTTCCAACAATGCAGTTCTCTCTGTTCTGATGGGTGCAGCTTAATATCATTGAGGATCAGCCACATTTGATGTATTGTTGTCTGTATGACTTATATTATGTCAATATGTTCATTCCCCTAGGTGTCATTCTCTATATCCTACTGGTGGGGTATCCACCTTTCTGGGATGAAGACCAACACAGACTCTACCAGCAGATCAAGGCTGGAGCTTATGATGTATGTAATAAGTATTCATGCCGCCTTAGAGGAGTGTTTGTTTTTGTTTATTGACTCAGAGTCATATTTTCTCGTTGTTCATTTAACCATAATTCTCAGCGGTTTCCCTCATTTTCTTCTCCCTTAGGAAAGGGAAGATGAAGAGAAAGAACTGTAACAAATGTATACATTTGGTATTTCTTTTTAATTCACTATCTCCTAAAATGTAAAGAAGTTTGAAGTCTCTGAAGAAAGACTTGTCAAAATGTTCAGATTTTAGTGCATAAGAATTAAAAAAGAAAATGCCTGCTTCAGAGATGATTACTACCTTTTTAGTTGAATTTTAACCCCAAATGCCTATCACATGATTTTAAATTGTGTATCAGTAATACTTTACAATGATTCATGTACCAAATAGAACATCATTTTACTATATCATTTTTTGGTCTAGTTTACCTTAATGAGTTTATATGTAAGCTTTTATTTGAACAATGGGTTTCATAATTGAAAAAATACTGGATAATCATAGTATCATAATTCTAACACATTTAATTTATAATTAAAATGGTTGAAAGTATATACACACATATTCATGAATTAGGTTTAGTATCTAAAGAGGAAGGATTTGTTTATCTACTTTCTGTTGATAACTTAGCTTTGAATTCCCTGATATAATTTCCTCTCTTGAAAAATGTAGTCATGTGTTACTTAATGATGGAGATAGTGTCTGAGAAATGCATTGTTATATGATTTCATCATTGTACAAACATCATGGTGTATTTGCACAAACCTAGATAGTGTAGATCAGTCACTTGGTGTGGCCTCTTGATGCAACAGATGGAGTAAACATGTGATGTGTGATGCCATTACACATGTGATGCTGGAGTAACATGGTGTGCTATTTTATAGTCAATTGTTTTTTCAGAAATGAAAGAAGTATACTCTATAAACAACAATAAATACATGGTATGGTAAATACATAAGCATATCCAGTAATGTAGTTGTTTATTATCAAGTATTATGGACTGTACACAATTGTATGTATTATACTTGTGTGACTGGCAGCACAGTAGATATACTTACACTTGTGTCACCACAAACCCATGAGTAAAGCATTGTGCCATGACATTGTGATAGCTATGACATTGTTAGACAATGGAAATTTTTAGCTCCATTATAACTTATGATACCATTGTCACATATTTGTTCCATCATTGATCAACACATCCCAATACCAAGCAGTATTGGGTCCATGTTATATGCACAAGTTAAAAGTTCAGTGTGAAAGTGATATGAAAATTTTTATTATATTTTGTCCAGTCTCAACCTGTTCAATGTATTTATGGGAAAATGTTCTATTTACATGGATATCAGTGTATCAGCTATCAAAAATTTAAAATGTCTATTCTTTTTATTTTGAAGCCTTCCTTTCTAGACAGACTAATAATTGGACCAAATCATCATTGCATGCTACAGCTAGCACAATCACTATCTTTACAGACTAAAACTAGGCCCCTCAGATGCACTGCTTGGTGAACACAGAGGAGTGCCTTTGTGGAAACTAGAAACATGAGGAAAGGACCCACCTTTCTTTAGGCAGAACTGACCCCTCATTTGCGGTCAGGAAACCTGCCAACATTGAGACACCGCTAGGAGTGTTTTCCCAACAGTTCCTAAGAGCAAGTTTATATAACTGCTCAAGATAAGCTTATGGAATTTAAAAATTACATTGTTAAACTGGCAAAAAATTGTAGGTAATAACAAAGCAATCACATTTCTCTCATCTTTCATTTGGCTATTGGATCACAAACTACTAATTCTATAACTACTGAAAGTGTAAATTCTAAGACACAGTGATCGTGTTTTTTTTCACAATTGTCTATAAAAGCTAAACGTCTATAAATAGAAATTATCTATAAAATCTAACATGCCTGTAATACCAATGACCCGGGAGGCTGAGGCAGAAGGATCACAAGTTCAAGGCTGGTTTCAGCAACTTAGCAAGATCCTCAGAAACTTAGGAAGAACTTGTCTCAAAATTTAAAAAATAAATAAAATTTAAAAATAAATAAAAAATTAAAGGGCTTTGGATGTAGCTCATGGTAAAGTGCCCCTGGATTCAATCCACAGTGCCAAAAAAAAAAAGAGAGAGAGAGAAAATTCATGAACTATAAAAATTTAGTGACGGATGTGCTGAAAATTTCTCTTAACCCATGAAGGATATTGTATCTATTAATTAAGTAATTATATGAAAATAAAATTAAATGATTGCCAATAAAAATTTAGTGTAAAGAAAATTTGGATCCTTAGCTTTATTATATAGTTATTAACATAATGATGGAATACTAATGGAAGTTATTGAGAGTTGGGTACTGTCATGCACTTGGGTGAAATATATAGTTAGATTAAACTTCTTGAGATGTTTACCTGAAATCCTGATGATGCTTTTGTAGTCTCAGATTTCTTTTCACCATAGCACTTCAAGCAGCCATGATTTTTAGGTCAGTGTTGGCCCAGGAATTGAAGATGTTTTATTATCTTTGCTCTTACTGTTTGTGAGACGTGAAAGTATATAATATCTCATATTGAGCTGTAGAATGTAGGATAGCATGATGACATTAGCACGTGACAACCTCACATTTTTTACTTACTTTTGCAAATAATTATGAGAAAGATTGTATACAATTTAATTTTCAGATAAAACAAAGATATTTTGAGAGGAATAGAAAATTCTTATGTTGTTTTACTAAATTTTACAATGTATTCACTATGTGTAATATGCAATTTAGTATATGTGTTTGTCCCTTATCTATTCAGCATATATAGATTTATATATGGAGTATATGTAGATCAGTTCATCTATTTTGGATATTTTGGATATAACATATAAAAAGTAAATTTATAAAGAAATTTACTACTTATGAAATTGTTAATATGTTTATCTCTTCCTCATTTGACTGAATGCATTTTTTAAAACTCTCGATAAATTTATGTCTTTGAAGTTTCCATCACCAGAATGGGACACAGTGACTCCTGAAGCCAAAGACCTCATCAATAAAATGCTTACCATCAACCCTGCCAAACGCATCACAGCCTCAGAAGCACTGAAACATCCATGGATCTGTGTAAGTGACAATTCTCCAAAAACCTTAGGAGAATGAAAAAATGAAATTCTCCTTTAATATATTTTTCATGAATTTTAAAATAATTTTGCAGAAAAAAAAATGAAAGTCAGGATGAACGGACTTAAAATAAATTTTATAATTGTAACAAATCTGCTTTGCACAGATTTCTAAGTAAATATTGTCTATAGTAACACAAGGAACAGACCATTTGCCATAATAGTGATGAATACAGGTTGAGAAGATAATCAAGAGTTAATGCATCCCAGAAAAAGAAAATAGAGTTCAATTATTTATCATTAGCAGCTTTAGAAACAAATCTGAGATTTGAAAACTAAGAGTGGAGTTTTAGTAACATTAAAACATGGCCATAATGGTCTGAATGCACTTTAGAAATACGAAGAAAAAAATAACACAGAAGTACTAAGAAAAAACAGTGGAAAACTTGGGGTACTCTAAAAGCTTAAGTAAATTTCTAGAATGAGTGTCAAACATTAGGGCAATAAATATGGTACCAAGTAAAGGAAAAACAGTCCAATAGAAATGTGACTAAAGATTTACTGAATTTAAGATAATGTGGGAAACCAGTGATATTCATTTATAAACGTATAAACTTTCTATACATAAATGTTTCAGCTTAGTTGCTAATAGTCATGAAAAAAATTATTCTCTTTTTTTTTAGTTAACTTTGGCAATTGAAATTAATCATGAGTGCAAGCACTATTAATAAAAATTTAATGAAGTTGAAGATACTATCTGCTTAGTATGTTTTAAATATCCTCAATGAAGTTATTTTTTCTCCTCTTTCAGCAACGTTCCACTGTGGCTTCCATGATGCACAGACAGGAGACTGTGGACTGCTTGAAGAAATTCAATGCTAGACGAAAACTAAAGGTATGAAATTTCATGTTTTTGCAAGAGTGGAAAATGAACTATTGTAGGGGGGAAATAACTTTTAGCAAAAACTTTTACATGTAGATCTCAGTACTCATATTGTTGTTTCTGGATTGTGGGAAAATGGAATATGCACCATAATCAGGCACGAAGAAAAGCTAGGATCAGTGTGGTGCCACATATAGTAGTTTCTACCTTCAGGGGAAAACAGCAGTATGATTCATAATCCATCTGGTCCACACATTATGGTGATCCCAGCATCACAAAAGGCACAGGTCTAGGACTCTTCTGGAAACAAACAAACAAACAAAAAAAAAACAATAAAAAATTTTCCTAACTGAAAATGAGAACAGGAGAAGATTTGTTGCCCTAGACTATTTATTAGGTAAAAGATTTACAACCTTGATTTTTTTTTTCTTATTTCTCTGACAGGGTGCCATTTTGACAACTATGTTGGCTACGAGAAATTTTTCAGGTACATGCGTTCAAAACTGTTCTCCCTATTGTCTGCTGTCCTCTGTAGTGGTCCTTTTTTTAAAAAAAAAAAAAATCAAAATCTAATTATTAGAAAAATTATATTGTATGGGTATGGCAAATGTGTGGCATAGATTCCTTCCACACCTATGACTGCCATTGGTACTCCTCCAAGGTATTGTCTGCTGCAGAAACTCTTGGGACTGCAAGCCCTCACAGGAGAACCCAGAGAATTCTAGGCAATAGTCAGTGCTGCTACGGACTAGACACCCTTCTCTCAAACAGTGGAGTGCACACAAATATTGGAGATATGTACTTCCTCATTTTGTAGTTTTCCATATCAACCCTAGAATGTATTAATTGTTATTTCATAAAATAATAATTATGAATAAGTTTTTTGTCTCATTCTTATAGGAAATTCCATTAAGCAATATTTTTAAAAGAAGACCATTATTTTGGAACTAATTTCTCTTAGGCCTAAGTTCTTTCCAAAGTATAGTAGTATATTGGAATGCAATAAAACTAATTACAACTGCCCAAGGTATCTAACTCCAGAACTTAAAGAGAACCAGCCACACTGACATATCACAGTATAACAAATTCTCCTCTGGTAAAAATAAGTGTGTTGAGCAGAGTCTAAAAGAAGCCAAAGAGATGAATTGTTATTAAATGACTCCAAAAGGGAGAGAAAAGTGTAAAGTATTTTCAGAAATTTCAGAGTTTCCTTCTCTGGTAGATTGTCCAAAAATTCCAGGTTTCTAAAATTTATATTTTGAATAATCAGTCTTATATATGGGGAGATATAGAAGCAGCAATGAAGCTACAATGGATAAGCGTACAATTTTGACATTTAGACTTAGAATAATTATCAAAACTTACTGCCAAAATATTACCACCTTAGTTTTCATAATAATGATATACAGCATCAATTTATCCAGCTATTTCAGTTCTTTATTTTGCTGAGCCTGGATATGATAGTGACATCAGGTGATAACCCATCGTATTATTATCAACTATTCTTTCCACAGCTATATTAGTTAAATGGTGATTTCTGCATGCTTGCCATCTGGTTAGAGGCAATATAATACATAGGCTGTTAACCAACAGCAGTAATAATATTACAGTCAGCAGTGCTGTGAACTGAGGGACTATGTTGGTCATTTGTATGTATGTTGTTTGGTGTAATAAAATGTTGTTGCTACTTTTGTCAAGTTACTTGTTTTGTAAACAGTTGAATAATGTGGTTGACATTTATATGAGTGAGTTCAATGCCATCTCATTATTAGGTAATATACACTATATTGAGATAAATTAATATTTACTGTGGCCCAATAATTCATGAATCATTGAAAGGTAGGATGGCTTATATCATATATATTGTTAATAGCAAACTAACTTTAAAAATATCTCCAGAATTAAAATTATGTATTTCATGAAAATGTTAAACACACTCAGTCATAAATTGGGCCTTTATTAAAGAATGTTTGTACCCATTTATATAAACTTTTTGTTTAACTCATATTTTCCTTTCCATCATCCTGTGAGCTAAATATTCATGACTAATATATGGATTTTATATCATTTCTGAATGTCTTAGCATGAAAAGTAAATCTTTTTTATCCATCACTTCAAAATCAACAGAATAACATTAGACTCAGTTACATCTTATACTTCATATTGCATTTTAGTTTGGAGTATGTTATTCATTCTATTTCATTGACAAACATGCTCTTTAAATAATCTGTCCATGAGTATATGGTTATAAAGTTGTTTTTATTTTTTCTTTTCTCCCTGTATGTGGAATGTATTTCTTGTGAGGTAAGGTGATTAGTAACCAAAAGGAACTTCTCTGCATCTCCTAGGCCAAATCGCTGCTTACCCTGGATCATTGTCTTCTTTTTGCTTGCTATTGCAATTCCAGTTATTCTGAGTTTGCTTTCTAACCTATTAACTGCCACAGGATTTACTTAATATTATTGCTTTTTAGCTCCCAGCAAACAGTATTATTGCTAAGGCAACAATTTCTTTACAACCTCAAGTGATAATAAATTAACAGCCTTGTTGCTAAAGACTAAATAAAATTAATACTTTTCTATGTTTTAAATATATTTAAAATTATAACAAAGTCGTCATCAACATAAGGTCCCAAATACAAGAAATATCAGGAAATGAAGTTTATTTAGCTAAATACTTTCAATTCAGTTGCCAAATTCTATTTTGATGCACTTAAATATTTATTACATACAATTAACATAAAATGGAAGTACACACTTTGTTCCACATATTCATGAATGTTCTACACTTGGTGTACTAATTGTCATTGACAGTTATGTTATCTGTTCACTCTGTGTGTACCCATTCATAAGTATATTTTTGAAAGGATGACTCTTCTACCTTTTAATATACTCAAGAAGTCCTATAACAAAAAGAATGACAAAGGCTTCCCCCCAGGAAAAATGAGAAATGAATTTTATAGAAGACATTATGCTTTAGGATTTTTCTGATTTAGTTAAAAGATTTTATTTTCTTTTATACATTATCTCAAATTGTATGGTTTTAAATTTTCAATTTTACTAAAGGCTTTTGTTTAGTAAGTCTTTATATTCTAATTCTGAAGTATAAAAGAATATATAATGCCATTTTTTAAAGATCATGTGCTAAGCTTTTAAAAAATTTGCTCTAGGTCAATAATATGCCATTTTGTTATAAATGCAGTCATTAATATTTTTTACAAAAGCTAAAATTCTCTGATTTCAAAAACTATAAAGATGTTATTTTGCCAGAGCAAATTTTTACAAATGAGTTTTCAACCTCTAGAAAGAGGAGCTTCAATGGCAGAACTGACATGGCCACCATACTTGTGGTGTGAATGAACATGTAATACAATCTGTCAGCTGATGTCTCAAGATTGAAACTAACTTTCTGGATTACAAAAGGATAGTCCAGTTAAAGTTCCAGTATCCTTTTCGCAACCAACAGTAAAGTCCAATAACACAACTGGCAAAGTTTCAATTTCATTCAATGAACTACATAAGAACTTAGTTCTAAATTTGTTGTGGCAAAACCAGAAAAGTGATACTGTATTTCAATGTCCTGTAAGCTCGCGCTCATCAGTGTGACCTTGATAACTTGGCATATGTTGGCCATAACTCAGCAAAGGTGGTAGAAGGAAACAATAACCTGCCTGTCTTGTTGCCTAGCTGAGGGTTTTGATGGACAATTCACTAAACTGATTTTGCTCTCACTTTGCAGCAGCCAAGAGTTTGTTGAAGAAACCAGATGGAGTAAAGGTAAGTTAAATGGGTTATCGTCAACCATTTTTGACTTTCAGATGCTGGATAATTTTAAATATAAGCCCCAAGTCATTGCAGTTTTTATTTTTTATTGTTCTTGATAATAAGATGCAAAATGACATATTAAAAAAATTAATAAACAAAGACAACTAATACATATACTAAGATGTGTATTTTTTATTTGTTTATATATTAAATAATCACCAAAAAGTAGTATTCATCTATAGAGTTACCACAGAAACTGAATGTCTAAATCCTCTCTGATTTACTACAGTCCCAAATACCATGGTGACCTGAAAAATCCGTGAAAATTAAATACTTTTACAAATAATTATGATGTATGCTAAAGATTGTTGAAGTGTATAACCTAAAATAAACAGTACGTCTGGAAAATGCAATGTCAAATGACTACATTTCTCTGCTCCAGTGGTTTTTCTAAGGTCTTAATTGTTCCTGTGTTTTTATCATAAGGTTTAGAGACATATTCAAGATTCATATACTGAATAAATATTAGAAAACTCTTTCAAGGAAGATAACAACAGGATATTTTGACTTCTCAGATTTCTAATCAAAATGATGCAACTTATTTTCTACTGATTGTATTTTGTTTAAGGGAGTTTTCTTTTGATGGAATGTAATTTTATATTTGCATAATAATGTTTGTTATCTTTCCATAGTATGATCTAAATGTTTCATTTTTTTAATCCTTCTCTCTCTCTTCCAATGGCAGATTCATACATTCCTCATCAATACTTCAACATTGTTGGGAATTAATTAATATTCTCATATTTGAACTTGACTCAAAGTCAGGTGGTCGGTTCACATTGAAAATAGAAAGTAGAAATCATTTGTCAGTTCTTCTGTTCATACCCAGTCATTTCTTCACCACCTGTCTGTGTGCACTTTGGGAATTTCCTGAGTCATGCACTTGTGATTCCCATTAGGATGGCATTTCCGATCACCAGTTGCTTCCCTCAACTTATAATTGTATCTTCCTTTTACTTATTTTATTCAGTCTAGATTTTGGCAAAGACTGTTGATTTCTGTTTTTTTCCTAATGTTACATTGGTAGAAATATGGTATTTTAAAAATTTCAAATGTCTTCTTTTGAATTTTTCTGTAGCATTCAGTGATAGAGAATTCACAGTTCCTATTAAGATGTTTATTTCCACTATTATCCTTTTATAGAAAGAAACATTTTCAGAACTTTTTTTTTCTTCTAGCCAACTTATAGCTCCTCTTTGAAAACTAAATTATTCTGTACTACATGCTTTGGCACTTTAAATTCAACGGGTCATACTTTTTTCTTTTCCTTTCTCTTTGACTGGTCAATTCAGAAAAGGAAGTCGAGTTCGAGTGTTCAGATGATGGTGAGGATCTCTATCTGCCAGATTTCTCCTGTGAAAATTCACACTTAGGAATAAAACAGTCTTATTTAATATAAGTTAGTGTAAGTGGAGGAAGTATAGAATCATCACGGGTCAGTGTTAATCAACTGTCAAAACATGGTACCCACTTTCACATTATATTGTTTTTCCTCTGAAGTTAATATTTTAAATAGGTAAGAAGTTAAATCCTCATCCATATGCTGTTAATGAATTTGACCTTATGCAAGGACAAAGTCATTTTCTCTTTGAAAATAAAAGGACCATGACATAATTAATGAATGTTTACCGACAAGTAAAGAAATACTATGGAGTTATCTTTCAAATGAAGATCATGGTTGCTAAAATAAGAATTATTCTTTCTATAATACATTCGCTGTTCAGTTTATAAATAATGTGAAAGTGATCTTACAGTGTATCCATCATAACTAAGCACCTTTAAAAGAAATATGCATTAATCTCAACATTTAATAAATTCAATGTCTGAGAAATAGGAATATATTACCCAAGCTTCATAAGGGCAATTCAGTGCATCATTTAAATATTTGATTCAGTTCAGTTTTTTTTAAAGAAAAATATTCTGCTTCCATACCTAAACATAGATGCATTCACTTTTATGTTTAAAAGACAGTTAACAAAAGACACTTGTATCTTTTAAAAGACAGTAATTAAACATAGCTACATTTCTCTTGTATGTTTAAAAGACAGTTGTGGTTGAACCCGTACTTGCTATTTGACTCTTTGAAAGGAAGTTTTTCTAGCGTTTTACTTAGAAATTTACCTATTATTTTCAAATTAACTAATTTTACTAATACCTTCAGAATATTCCCACAATAAAAAATTCATTAAGCTAATCTTTTCATTAACAAAATGTTTCCAACTGCACATTTAAATATGATTGAAAGTGGTAGTTAAGGCTTATATCTATGTACCTCATGTTTGCCATGCCTGGTGATACAGGTTTATCCACACCGAACAGCCCTCATTTGGGAGACATGATGGTGTGTGTGTGCTGTGTATCTATGGGTGAATGTGTATGGGGGGATGGTAGGCATGTTTGCACTTATACAGATAAACTCATGTGCATAAGTATGCATGTGGGACATTTTCAGTAAAATAAAGCATTTCTAAGCAAGCAATTACATCCTGGGGGGGGGGGGATCTCAATCTTATCTCAAAACAGAAATAAAAATATCTCAGAATATTTCTCTTTTATTTGCATCCACTGATATGAACTAAATACAGAATGTTAAATACATGTAGTGCTTTAATCATATGTATCCCTTATCATTTGACAAGAATCCAGCTGTGTTTTGCCAAGTGCTCTTCCTTCATAAGAAGTATTTGTGTGTGCATCCCTCCCTTATCTCATGTATTTTCTACTAACAGAAGTACATTTTGATCCCTCTTTAATAGACACCACTACCTCTTATCTCTTTTTGGCTTTTATCCAAATTTTTGCATTAAATTTTGTGCAGTTTGATTTAAACAAAAATTTTTCTAAAACTATCTGAACAGTATAGATTTATAGTTTAACATTTAATGAGTTTTCCAGTAAAGTTTAAAAGTTATCTGTTTTTCTGCATGTCACAGAGCACAGTATTACAAATTATCTAAATAATTCTACTGATACCAGTAACCACACAAATACAAATAAACAGAAAAGCAAAACATCTCATACATAAATTATATTTTTTATATTCTATCTTCCTCTCAATGCTAGTTTCAATATGATATATGGGCACAAATTATAGATATTCTAGAAATCCTGAGCAATTACCCATGTAAACACTTATAAATACTCATCTGGTATTTGTTTATTTTATGTAGCATGTGTTCCTTCTTGAGTCCTTAAGTACATTTACATTTGTATTAAAATTATGGGTTTTCTTTTTTAATAAAATAATATATTGAAAATACCTAGATTATATAGTATAAGAAAAGTAATGTTTATATTTTCTTGATAAACATAATGTAATATATCATGCATGAGTTTAAAACAATGTAAGTTTTTTTTTAAGTCTGATTCTTTAGTGCCCAAAATCACTTTGTAGTTTCAAGTTGCTTCTAGTCCACAAAGAGTCTTCTCTGTGGGCCATTACAATATTTATTTACCTTCCGATTTTGTTTTCAACATGGAGCCCACAGTGGTACAGATATCTTCTTTAAGGGTAAACCCAATTATTAATGCAAGTGAACTGTATTACTAAATGTGTTCTTTTAGGATAGCAGTAACACTTTGAAAGAAAATATGGTGTTTTCCTCTTAAGCAATTGTGAAAAATAAGGTCTTTTATCTTCCGTATAAAGACTTTGACTTCCCCTCTAAATAACAGAAGATGAATTTTTAAAGGAGACCCAGACTTAACATTTTTAAAAAACGTTTTAACACCTGCCTTTGTCAGAAAATCCAGGTTTTTAGTTGGATGGTAGTGAATGAAGGCTCCCCAGGGAAAGATGGTTTATGTATGACTTCAGGCTCAAGAATAAAATGGGGGGAAAAAAAGGACTGTAACAGTGAACAATTGGAAGCTTGGAAACAGAATCCAACCTGAAGAGTATGAAAACGGTCATATTCATTTCATACTCTCCACTTGATCTGAGCTCCACTGAAGCGGCTCTTTGTCTGTTTGCCAAGGGGGCACAGCCAAAGCTGCCACATCTGTTTTCTCACCCACCATCACAGACAAGGTCCTCACCTGTGCATGACCTTCGGAGACTAGAGTGATCATCATCCCTGTCAGTCGTCACAGTGTCTTTCACGTTCATCTTCAGTGGCTCTTTATTTTCATGTCTATACCTCCACGTAGACATGCCGCGTAGAGAGACTTTGGCTACCAAGGGGTTTAAGGCGTCTCTGTTTCTATTTTCTGCATACCCACAGATAAACAACAAAGCCAACGTGGTAACCAGCCCCAAAGAAAATATTCCCACCCCGGCGCTGGTATACCTGGACTCTTTGTAACCCTTCTTAACTTCTTTACTGTTTTTTGTTGTTTCTCTCATTTGCTTTCACTATGTAGATACACACATATATATATATATATAAATATTTTATTTTGTTGGGTTTTTTTCTTTTTTGCTTTTTTAAGATATGGAAAATGTTCATCTCTTTTTCTTTTCTTTTCATGTTAAGAGAGTTGTCAAGCAGTATGTTTCTAACATGAAATTATCTCATTTCATTGTTGAACATTGTGCTGGTCTCTGTGGTTGAAATTTTTGCATGCTGCCTTAGAAATACAGTAGAATGCGCTTTGGTTTCTCTTAGCTCTTCTGATGATGATAACAGCTCTGACATCACGCAAATGACCATCTCTTCGTTTCATGACATAAATGTTGGCATCCAGGAGAGCTAATGGGATTATTGCTAGACAACATAAAAGCTGACCTTATTCAGAGTTTTATTTCCCTCTCATTCAAAGACAACATGGCTTTGTAAGACCTCATTTTATGAGATCAAGAGGCACTGGATAATTTAAAGCTTTTTGTTTGTTGTGTTTTAAATTAAATTTTCACTGTTTCACTTTTATCCAAACAATGAGTTTGTGTAATATAGAACCTTGCATTATCAATGCAGACAAGTTTCTTCCATTTTGGTGAAATCCACACAATTAAACTAACTCAGTTGAACACTTTGAGATGATGTTGTATAAATTCAAAATTTGAATACTGGCATTCTGTGTTCTAAGCTATATAATATTTACCTCAAACTGTTCTCATATTTTGATTTACAATTTTCAGAAATGTTTCTGATTTTTTTTTACTGTCCCCATACTATTATTGTAAATGAATAATGAAAAAAAAACAATAGGAGGTTATTCACTTGGGTCAACCAGTAAACTCAATTTTAAATGTAAAGGAAGAAAACATCAAAGTAGAAGATTATTAGGGCCACAGGTAGCTCAGTGGCTGATCGTGTGCTTAGCATGCAGGAGGCCCAGAATTTGATCCTCAGTGCCCCCCAACACACACACACACGATAGCAGGTTTTCTACTAGTGAAAAACACTGTCCATCACAGCTGTAGCCAGGGAAAGCATGAAGGGAGCAGTAGGTAGGTTCTCTAAGTATGCAGGATCAACTATCACAGGATAGTAATAGTGGATTGGGGTAAGGCCCACTTGCCAACTCATCAAATAATGAAAGTGCCAAGCAGGCCACTGGTGCACAAACCCTGAATCTTTTCTTGCATCAACTGTTTGCATATTACTTTCCACTTGAGATTTTTTTTTATATAGTAATAGGAAAAAAAAACAGTATTTTCTTCATGGAAAAAACATGACTTTACAGCCAATTATTCTGTGTAAAAAGTCCATAAAGCAGAAATTTTCTTTTAGATATGAATGCATATAGGGTTTATCAACAACATGTTTCCAATTATAGTTATTATATGATTAGTTCTAGAACCCATTAAAAGATCCTTTTAAATGATTCTTAAAATCTCTCATGGACTTTTGAAATGTATGCTTTAAGATGGTCTTTTTTATTTTTTTATTTTTTTTAAATACTAAATACTGTTATTTTATTGAATGATGAAGACTTGTATTTCTCTAGGAAAAAAAAAACATGCACATATTCACCTTATTTAAAACTCATCAAAATGAACAAATTTTACTTAGGCGATGTGCCAACTTTGGGCTCACTTGCTATAGATATAAAAGGGAATTTGAAATTATTCTTCTAGGCATTCTAAAGACTTCATGACAGAATAACAAAATTACTGTTCATTTTATTTATTTATTTTTTTTAATTTTTTATTGTGGGTTGTTCAAAACATTACAAATTTCTTGACATATCATATTCCACACTTTGATTCAAGTGGGTTATGAACTAGGTCTTTTTTATTTTTAAAATATGGTCCGATGTTTCTAGATTTTTTCCAAGGGTATTCAGCTATGTGCTAATTATAATAAAGATAACATAATTAATTCTCCAAGCAATACAGCTGAAAAAATAACTTCACAAAGAATATGAAATCTTCTGAAAAAGATCTACCTTCAGTGACTTTGGCCCATTTTCTATGTGACAACATTAATGGGCGCTTAAAGAAACGAAGGTTCTCTGTGGCATAGGACTTGGTGAAACAGTGAGTGCCTCTTCTGGTCTCCAAATTTCAAAGCCCTGTGTGTATACTGATCAGGAATAAGGTCTTTGCATGCTGCTTCCGGGTAGGGCAGAGTCTTATCTCATGGCTCACCAGGGAGATATTTCATCAGAGATCTTGTCTGCTGCAACATCTGACAGCAGTTAACATTGCTTTAGCTCTTGTCACTGTTTAGTTTTGTCAGTTGGCTCTTTCTGCTCTGTCCCTCAGACTAGTAAGAATGTACTTACCAATGCGAACTGTTTCTTTCTCTATTTTGTTCTCACTCAGGAGCCCCAAACTACTGTAATCCACAACCCTGATGGAAACAAGGTATTCAGAAAGAATCAACCACATCTTGCTTTAACAAGATTACACATCTCATCAAATTCTCAATACAAAATTAATTTATGATCTAAAAAAGAAAAAGAAAATCTTTGTTCTTTGTTTACTGCACTTTCTTTTTGGCCTAATGATTCTAAAACTGTACACTAGACTTCTTTTAAATAAAAATGAATGACAGCTTGAAAGAGAAATGAATGATATCTTTGTAAGAAAATAAAGTCAGGTTATACATTTATAATGTCATTCTGTCATGATGACTGTGTATCTTAAGCAATTCTACGTGGTCTTTTTTTGTTTTTCCATGCCTGTTTGTGCATTGTACTGTAGATGTATACTGCATGAAATTTTAGAATTTCTTGCTATCATTCCATTGTCTTCAAAAATATCAACTTGAGTTTATAGGTATTTGTTTAAATTTAATGTTGTTTCTGAGTTTTATTCTCTTCTGTTGTCATAGTATTTTGGTTTTGTTTTTGTTTGTTTTCAATTCCCTGTTGTTGACAGTGTTGTTGTTGTTTGGCATGAATTTGAGGAGAATTGGGAGTTTTGCTTCTTGTGAAATATGTTTGTCATTGAGTTATATGCATTTCAGTAACAGTTAATTATTTATGCTGAATGAAGACTAATATGCTCTACCTATTGTAAATTATTTGTACAGCATGTTAATTAAATAACAGCACTCACATATGTATATAAGGGTGAAGGGAGACATTTTCTGAATGTATTTTATGTTTCCCGTTTATTGCTTTTTAGACATTGTTTTATCTCTAAGGGGAAGAAAAATACCATCATCAGACTTTTATCAAATAATAATATAATCATGGGTCTTACTTCTCCTTACCCTCATCAACAATAATGGATGGGCTTAGAAAATACATTTCCTCTCTGGTTTAACATTCCGCTGGTCAATACTGAATCATTAAAGTAAAAAACATTAAGTATTATTTTTTTAAATTTGAGATGCATTTTACAGTTAAAGACTTAAGGTAGTGAGGACCATCACATATGAGAATGATTTTTTCAATAGCATTAGCAAATGAAAGATCAAGCATAACAGCTGGAGTGGACACTTTCATAGTTCTAGCTATATCATTTGTAAGAGTTGTTGCATGGTATTCCTTGCTTACATAAATTAGTCTACTGTTACAGTGCATGGGTTTATCTTCCATGTTTAAATCTAAACGCTATGTCACCTTAAGGAACGCATGAAGACTTTTTTTTTTTTTTTTGGTTTGGTGTGTGTGGAGACTCTGGATACATTTTTACATAGCTTATCCCTTTGATTCAAATATTGTGTAATATATATATATATATATATATATATATATATATATATATATATAAATTGATCACTTTTTAAAATATTGAATCTATAAAAATACACTGGTATTTCATCACTTTTCAAAATCTGTTTTATGTCACTGAGCATATAACTGTTGATTGAAAGTTTGCTTGCAATTTTTTTCAGTAGCCTTGACTTATTCCAAATAGAAAATTGTATCTTTCTGATGCATACTGCAAAGTTTTTTTTCCTAGAAAATATTTTTATTAGTACACTTTCACTGAAAATATTCATCAAACCATTTTAAGAAACATACCTCAATATATGGCAATTACAGTGTACTTTTAAGTGTGCTAACTCATCTCCAACTTAATTTGTAGTTTCACAAATAAAGAACTTTGTATTTTCATTGTGGAAGTGGGTTTCTTATCAATGACAATCAGTTTCTAATTTAGGCAAGATAGAAAAAAAATCTAAAAGTAAATTATTTCGTATAATTCCATTGTGCTGGCCCAACATGAAAAGTCTTCTTCAAATTGCTTTCAGCCTATTATCGGCTTAATACCTTTGCTTTCTTTATTCTCTTAAACACATACAAAAAAACATACTTTATGCAACACTGTGACACAAACACATCTTTACCCAGTTTTTAAAATAAATTATATATTCTGCTGCTTCTACAAATCACCCAGAACTTATACTGCTACAGATTTAGGCAACCAGAGTACTCCTTTTTGAAATGTTTATAACATTTGACATTTTATTTCTGTTAAAACCACTTAAATGTATTTGTCCATCTGCATGTCAGCATATGCACACAGCCTGCTGAAGAATTTTGCATGATATGCATATCACTAGTCAAATTCATAAGATGAAACCAAGCCATTCATTACATGCAACTTAAAAATGTGTTTTCTTCTCAACAGGAGTCAACTGAGAGTTCAAATACAACAATTGAGGATGAAGATGTGAAAGGTATGCTCAAGTCAGAAATGAAAAATCGTAACCCAAAGTTCCATATGTATCAGAAAAGAACATAATTTGTTTCAAATAAACAATGAATTTAGGAAGTAATCTTATCCTGAAACACAAAGTTAATTTTTTTATAAATACATTATTATTTTAATATATACATATTGACTTTTCCATTTTTTTTTTACATTATTTTATGTGTTTTAAAATATTGATATACTCAGACACATTGTTATCATGACAACTAGTGTGGGTAGATGATAACAAATTGTACATTTGTCAATTAAAAAATAATATGAAATTTATGCACATATTGGATATATTCATGAATCCTCTCTAGAATACAATTTATATTCAAGGACACAGTATGAAAACAACACTTGTTTAAACTTGAGATGGTTTCAAGTGGCTATCAATGGAATTTTGTTTTGGCAGCTTTTTTACTCTAGATTTTCATGTACTTCTAATATATTCAGTTGCATTGTCAAAACTTTTTCAGCTACTGACATCTTCTCCATACTAAACACATGTTTGCAGTTAGCTTGCTTCCTTGTGGCCACATCTCTGGGTTATTTTTGCTTCAATCATTCTTGCAGTTTGTGTTCTTATTTTTGTGTATATAACTACAATTCTACAAGCCACTTGTTTAGAAGGCTGAAAAAAAAACCATTCTGAAAAAGAATGGTTTAAAGAAGACATTTAAAATATAATTACTAAAGGAAAGGAAATATAAAGAAAATTGAAACATATATAATTATAATTTCTATATAATTAAACCTTATGTAGAAAGACAATTTACCCAATAGCATCATCAAGGCTTATAATTCCATAGGTGGCTTTAGTAAAATATAGGATTGAAAGGTTGTATTCATGTTATTAAATAAACAACCAGGGAATTCTCAGGTCAAGGGAAGACATACGCACTTTAGGAAATAAAGATGACTGTGGACCACAAGTTGCCAGTCACCTCTGCTGACTTTTCCCTTTGGGGTTGAATAGAACAGCTGGCACTATTGAAGTGTAATTCTATTTATATTACTAGTGCACTGACTTAACTCTGCTAGAGGAAGACAGTCATTGTTTTTTATAGTGGAAAGGTGAATAGCTGTGTCAGGTATTTTATATAGTAGGTCTGTTCGTATCACTCTTGCCCCTGAGCTAAAATTTGAACTGAAATAATTTTATGAATCATTGATGCTAGTCACATTAGATATAGAGTTTAAAAAAAACAACAACAAATAAACAGATGTGCGGTTTAGCTTTCTCAGTGATTCTAGAAGCATCATGTTCTTAAGGGGTTTGGATTCATTAACTCAACTAAGCAAAATGTTATGTGTGATTTTTCACATTTTTCCCTTGATCAAGATTCAGAAAACCTATGCATTATCCACTGGAAAGACTGTGAATCTTAAAATAACTAAGTAAAATCAGGAGGATACCAACACTTCACTGTTTGCAGTTCATCCACCAGGAAGTTTGAGCAGAGTTCCTGAATTCAGCTCTTCAGTTGTGAAATACTAATTCAGGGTCATTGATATTAATATATGTACATATCAATATATACAAAGAGTCCTCTGATATTTCACAAATGGAAATAATATTTGCCTGTATAGTTATGTCGAGTATATAGCACCAAATGTTAGAGAAATGAAGCTTAATAATGAGTTCAGAAGAAATGTCCGATTGATAATTGAGCCCAAAGTACTTTGGTTTATTTCCTTGAACCTAATAAATAAATTATTTAAGTTTCTGTTTAACTTTACTAGCATGGATCTGGCCACAGTATCCTAGAGAGAGTACTTTAGGCCTCATTTGTGTTCTCTATAAAACCCATACAGCCTTTGGGTAGCTTTTTAATATTGAATGAAAATGTTAAGACTAGAAGATGTTTTGCAAGATCACCCATCCCATCATTTTGACTGTAAGGCAGGTGGTACATAAAGTGGTCATGAATGTTTTGATGTATTTATTTTGCTGGCAATATGTTTGTGTAGGAATCTCTGCATTTATCAGTGCACAGTCCTCAAAAAAGACCCATTATATTTCTGCATTTGAATGATTATACTTTTTCCTTCATCTCAAAATTTGCTATAGCTCTGGTAGCTTAATAGAATATTTGTTGTCCATCTCTGTTAGAAACCGCATTTACCTATATATTAAACATGTAGGAACTGACAAAGACCATCAGTTATATAACCTGACCAGAACTATGTTCTCTTTACAAGACCATATCCCATCTATAAAATGGCATTTCTTTCTTCTGCACATACTCTGACCTTTCTGTGTAGCACCTTGTGATCATGGAAAAACACCACACTTTTCAACAACCGTAAGGCATATTGCCTCAGCATACTCCTGCCTGGTGGCACATGCTCTATCCATTCCCTCCAGCCATCTCATACGTAGCATGTCCAACATGTACTGTGACTTGCGTTTCATGCTGGTATGATCCCTTGAATACCATATCACATGTTCCCCACACTGATGCCCCATCCCCAAGGACTACTTGGCAGAGAAGCTTTTGTGTTCTCTCCACTGCAGATAATGTGGGCAGGGGTGGGGAGGACTCATACGGTGATTTTGCCAAAGAGAGAAATGAGATAAACCAACAGCACAGTCCCCTTCTCCCTCACTCTTTGGGGTAAAAACAACATAGACAAGCCAGCTGTTCTCAGAGAAGGAAGAAAGGAGACATAGTAGATAGACTAATGGTGCTTCACAGGGGAACCTGGAGCACCCTAGTAAACCAAGATTTAGAGGAGACCCACTTTCCTTTAACTCTGCTGGTTTCCATTCAGAATGACTACGGGGGCTGGGGATGTGGCTCAAGCGGTAGCGCGTTCGCCTGGCATGCATGTGGCCCGGGTTCGATCCTCAGCACCACATACAAACAAAGATGTTGTGTCCGCCGAGAACTAAAAAATAAATATTAAAAAAATTCTCTCTCTCTCTCTCTCTCTCCCACTCTTTCTTTAAAAAAAAAAAAGAATGACTACGGTTCTCTGAGGCCCAAATGAGGTGTTCTTTCTGAGCTGTGTCTAGGCTCACTTTCCTCATTCATTCAGCAAGTCTTTATAGAATGCTTACTGTTTGCTTGAACTCCACATTTCTCCCTGTAAAATATTCACTGTCTAGCGAGTTCAGAGATGCAGAATCCAACCACACTTCTATATGCTTTACCTGAGTCTTTTTTGCCAAAATGTAGGCTCATTCTCTCATGTAATTCAATAAGTATCGAGAAAACATAGAAGGTGAGATTCAAGATAAGTGTATTTTTTAATCTAAAAATCCTTTTATTTTTCTTAAAAACTTCAACATTGAGTTATAATCACACTTTTCTTCCTAAGCTCACAGCCATCGTAAGAAATTTGCCTCTTTTTACAACTCCTATTTTTCAAAAGCTCCTAGAGTTCCTTGTTTTCTTTCTCCAAAGGGAATGTGTTGACTTCCTAATGTTGACCTTTTATACAGCTGTCTAATTTTGTCCTGTATTCAAAAACCAAATATTATTTCTGATGCTGTCAGTAAACTCAACCACTAACTCAATGTCATGGAGAGGTACTGACAGTTTGAAAACAAATGTGACTTTTAAAGCATAGTTACTGCCATAGCAGCACTATGGTAAGAACAGATCATTATTTGTCCCTCCTCCCAAAAAAAGAAAATAATAGTTTTCTGACCAGAACTAACATTTTTTTTTTTTTATTTTGAGACAGAGTCTTGATAAATTGCCCAGGATAGCCTCAACTCTTACTATCCTTTTGTATCAGCCTCCCGAGTAGCTGATATTACAGGCATGCACCACTGTGTCCAGTTCAAAGTATACATTTTTAGGTCAAAACTGTTGAAACAGCCATTTCTATTTTGAATGCACTTGTAGTAAAACATTACCGTGTATCAATTTCAATGTCACTGAAAGGCTTTCATCATTTACATTTCATTAGAGAATAGCAATTCTAACAGGGCTCCTCCTTAGGGGTGTGGGTGTACCCAAAGTCAATGATATTTAGCAATGGTCCTTTCCACAGTAAACATTTGAAGACTGTCCTTTGGTTTGTGGCTATAGCCACTGTTTGCAGGGCCTGTCGCTGTATGCCACAATGCCTCTCCACCTCATAACCTGTCCAGCACCATTGCTCATAGTCAGCTACCACTTCCTGATGAGTGCACGTCCATTTGATCCATCTGCTGCTCTTTCCCAGCATGCCCAAGTTGTGCAACACCTGTCGAAGCCGGGCTCCTGTATGCCCTTGTCATCTGTGTCACTCTGCTTCCAGCATCTCACTTCAGCTCACCACTGAGCAACTGCTTGGATCTCTTGCTGCATTTCATCCTTACATGTCTAGGCCAGTGGAGTTCTGTGCGACAAGCAGAAATCTGTAGCTTTGAGACTGATTGTGTGTGGAGCTATGTCCTTATTTACCCTCTTTTTCCTTTACCTGACTAATAGTTGATGGTAATGAAGCTGTATAGGATGTTTGCACAGTTATGGGCAGAGATGTTGGCACCCTTATCATTTGAGTGAGGTTTGGTATTTGATGATACCCAGATTTCCTGGTATGAGCTAATTGGCAGAATCTTTTGATGAATGAGCTGTTTGCATGTATCTTTTATAAACATGCACATTAGTATACTGTATGGTGACTAAAAACTCAGACTTAGCTCTCCTTAAGTTCTGCTTTATTGATGAAAATCCTCATTTCTGTTAGGATTTCCTGGGGCAGATAATAAAATGATGGCAATCTTCTTCAGATTTGCATGCAGTTCATCACTTGACTTGTCTTACGTGTTTTCCTCACTTGCAGAATTATGCCATTCCATTAGGCAAAAAAAAATGTCTTAGAGGACCTTTAGTGTAGTATAAAATAACTACTTTGAGTTTTCTAATCTAAAATTTGGTTTTGCAAGATTATTAAGAAAATCTCTTATCCATATGTGTTCATCTACCTGACGACCTTCTAGCTTTTAAATCAGGATGAGTAATTCACAGAATTGATGCAGAA